ATCAACTGTTGCAGCCAATTACATTCCTGCAAGAGCTTAATTGGTTGTGTTACTGTTACTGGTTGCTGTTGGTCCATTTTTATGATGTCAACTGATCACACAGGAAAATAATCCACCAGCTGTGTCAGTCTGCTTGGTAATTCACATAATAAACTCTGTGGTACTTTTATTTTAAAGGGGGAACAAAAACCTTTCAAAGAAGTTGTAAGATACTTTGGAGATCCTCATGCATTTGGACAGAAACCCATCACATCATTGAGACAGGTGCAGTGATTGACAACCTAACATCATTAATCAGTGTTGGAAAACTGTAATATTTCCATTATTCAAAAATTCTATCTTTGACACTTGAATAAAGTTCTATATTTCTTAATACATATAGTTATTCTTACCACTCAGATTACACAATAATTTCAACTAAATTCATTTCAGCAAATCGATCAGCACCATAATTATTAAAAAACCTAATTAGTTCAAACAACTTTGGGTGGGGTTTGTTGTTATTTACTTCCTGTTTAGAGAGTCCAACAATGGTGACCCCGAGAACAAAGGAAGCTACCATCTCTATAAGTCTTTGTGAGGTTTCCATCAGGTTACCATAGGGTTAACTGTTCATGAATACCTTGTAACTCCAGCATTAAATTCGCACCCCGACAACATTTGTGGAATTTGACTATACTCTCACTACAGCTTCAACTTTGTCTCCACATTAATCTGTATCTGTAACTTTCATATTTCTCATTTGATAATTCAATTTTTTCTGACATCCCCTGACAACATTTTTCATGAGTATTGTTTTCAATGTCTCAAACTTATGCAAATTTTGTGGAGAATGTGAAAGTCTAAAGGAATTTTTTTCACCTTTTTTGACAGTTTCTGTCATGTCTCATATGTCCAACTTTACTTGAGGATTCGAACTACCCGAAGGACATACATGAAAAGGTGAACAGGATTCTCAATGCCAAAGCAGGCCATGTTATAAGTAAGTATCATTGTTTTTCATGTCACTAAAAAGAAGATAGCTTAGTATTTTAAGTGATAGGGTAGGAGTGAAAAAAATTGGACAAGTTTAGGTTTAAGCACCATGGAAAGAGGTTTCATCAACCTCATTCCCAGCTTCTGGGTAGGAGAGAACCCTGGGAACGAGGTTGAGGTTTCATTTGAATGGTCATATTGGAGGATTTCATTCACAAACTCATAAGTTAGAACACCTTCTCTCAGACTTCCCTAATGGACTGAAAGAAAACTGTCATGAATGAATCTCCACCAGATAAGCACCAGTATCATCATCATCATCATCATCATCATTGTCCTCCTCATCATCATCATCATCATTAATAATTATCAACAGCTACCCTCCTGTCAAGCCCTTTCCTTGTCGCCACTTCTTACCAAGCTTTTGGAGGCAGTGTGGCCTAGCAGTATACATTTGAACCTCTCCTAAACAGCCACCTTGGAGACAGAAGAAAGTGGCCGTTGTAGAGAGGTTTATAAAACAGGAGTCAATGTATAGACTGTCTGCCAAAAAAAGTGGTTGTTGTTGAGAGGTGGCTGTTAGTAGAGGTTTGACTGTAAGAATGCTGGAATTGTAATCTTAAGGTTCCCCGAGTTCAAGCCCTGCCTTTAAACCCCTAAATGGATTTGTTTTTGGTAATTTGGAGTTCAACTCCTCGGCCAGTAAGCTGGTTTGCCTCCGACCATTTGGAATCTTATCCTTGTGGGTGACAATGAAAACTACCAGTTTACCAGTTATTGTGTTACCTTCATACAGTCCGTTTTTCTTAAACCCCATGCACTCCAGACCCCTACAAAATCCAGTCTTGGGTTACTCTTTTCCTAAGTCAAACCCTTTCTCTTCTCCTAATTTTGCCTAACTCATTCTCCACTTTGACCACCCCTCGATCAAAATTTTCCGCATATCCCTCAGTACAACATTCCATCCCTCCCTTAAAATCCCCCCCCCCCACAAACCCCTTTCAATCCACCCTCCACCCCTTAGAACAGTCATAGTTATAAAGCCCTTGTTCCACCTCTTTTCAAAACCCATCGCCCACACTCTCGGCAAGTTACTCTCGTAGAAAAATTATTCTTACTGTATGGTATTTCGAGGTTCATATACAGACCCTCTTGGACTACGGATTGTTCGTGAAGATGTTGCCCAGTTCATTTCTGAAAGAGATGGTTATCCTGCCGACCCAGAAGATATAATTCTAACAAATGGAGGAGCACATGGAATTCAGGTGTTCATGAGTATTTTCTAATATTTTTTAGGGTTTTTTATCCATGGTTAGAAATACTTTTATAAAGGTAAAATGATGTTTGGAGACATAACTAATTTCTTTCTTTTATGGATTTACTATTAGCACTTATAACAGTTTTTAGGTTAAAACCGCTTCCTATTTTAGCCTGTTCCAGGCTCTGAGATAGTGGGGTCCACGAAATTGAGAAAGCACGAACATGAAAATAAAACAAGGGGAAACTCATCACGTGCTTAGTTTCGTGAGCCTTAGGCCCGGTTCAGACGCCGAACGTTTCATGAGCCGAACCTAATTCGAATTAAGGCCGACCCAAATTATTTAGACCGGCTAAATTGATTCAGACGCCGATCTTAATTCCAGCCGAACTAAATTCAGAAGGCGAAAAATGCGCATTTTGGTCAAACTGCTTACAAAATACGTTATAAGAATTTATGCATTAGGTTCGGTACATGAAAAGTACGGCGTCTGAATCAAAGGCGTTCCAAAGTCGATCTAAAGGCGACATTCCCGGCCGGTCTAGGCGAAAAGAACGGGTGAGCCGTTCCAAATTGAAACAGGCGTTCCTAATTGATTCAGACGCCGAACTTTTCGTGTACTTAATTCAATGTGAGGTTCAGCTCATGAAAAGTACGGCGTCTGAACCGGGCCTTAGTGACTTTAAGATCCAAGGACGCGACGGCAATGAGAACGTCGGTTAAAAAGTGAATTTGCGTTCTTTCTGTCGTTATCGAAATTATTCCTACCCCCTTACTTTGTCAAATGTAGGCAAGCCCTCCTGGAGTTGAATTCCTAAGGACCATATCCAAGTGCAGAAAGAGAAACAAAATTTCGTCGTTGCTTGTTTACGTACTCCATAAAACGCGAAGTTAGGCATGTTCACGTCGTAGTCGTGCAAAAACGGGCAAAAAAATGTACCAAAATAGTTTGGTGCACGCGCAAAGTTGTTGTTTTGCTAATAAAACCTATTGTTTTTTTGACGTTTTCGTTGCCGTCCGCGTCGTTGGATCTTAAAGTCCCTAGTGTGTTCGACGAAGGAGAACGCAATCCTTTATCAGCTTTCCCGTAGCTTTTTTACAGACAGGAGAGAACAGGTATCTGTTATGTCAGCCTGTCCTTCTCTTTTTTTTTTTTTATGGGGCTTTTTTTTGGTCTGGGGGGGTCATAAGTATTCTGTCCTCAGCCAAATGTACAATACATGTACAATGTACGCCCAGGTAGAACGCTTCACATCAGTAGTCTATGCACGGACTACATCGCTTACTGAATACAGGATGGTAAATATAACATAGACATTTTCACGCGCTTTTTCAGGTTGGCATGCAGGCACTAGACGCCAGTTCAGACAGTAGAAATAAAAGGACAGGAATTCTGATTCCTATTCCCGTGTTTCCTCAGTACCTGTCAAGAATCATGGAATACAACTTCCACCAGGTAATTTAATAAATGCACAAATAAAACTGAGTGCCTTGAATACAGACCTTGTACATTTTAATTTTGTAGCAATTTTCAGGTTTTTTGTCAGGTTTTTTCCGCGCTATTGAGGTGTTAGCCCATGTGTATAAATGTACTAGCCTACCACGCACAGTCTGAGTGTTCGTATTTCCTCCCTCATCCCCTAAGAAAGCCTGCGAGGGAGGCTATATGTGTACTGGCACACTGTTAACGGATTGCTTTGGAAATTTTATATATTCTTTTGTGATGGCTACTACTCCTTGAGAGTATAGCATAGCCATTTTGTCGTGGTGTATGTAAGATTGAGTACAAGTAGTCCTAAATCTTCGGATATTTTTCGTAATCGCCCGATCGGACTTTGATCGATACCGACGCTTCTTTTCTTTTGTGTAGATTCCTTACTATTTGGACGAAGATCACGACTGGTGTCTGGATATCGGAGAACTGAAGAGGGCGTTAGACAAGGCCAGGCCATATTGCACTCGAGGGCTCTTGTACTGATTAATCCGGGAAATCCCACAAGTAAGACCTGATAAAATAGAGAATGAGCCATTGAGAGTCAAGTTATGCGAAGAAGTCATATCTGGGTTTAGCTCTGACAATTGTAATCGGACTAGGGCTAGTTTCGTCGGTAGACTGCTTAACTGTGAGAAGGTCGAGGGTCAAGAGGGTTCTGTTCCCGGGACCGGACCACTACTCAGGGACTTAAAATAACTGAGAAATGAAGGTACTGCTTTTGCCCTGCACGCGGCTAGACCTTCGCGTGGTTCGGATGACCAGATAAAATGGCGGTCCCGTCTTCAGTCAGAGACATAAAATAGCGTCCTTAACTATCCCTTTCGTGCTAAATACATTGACATTTAAGTGAATAAAGTGCCTTTAGTTATATGTCTAGTATATATACAGTATGCATGTGTTTTTAAAACCAGTTACTAGCGGCAAATCCGAGAGATATTTAACATGCTTTTTCATTCAAAGTGTCGAGGTAACGAGGTTGTAGTCCCCTTTTTTTCACATTCAGGTCAGACATTTTGAAATTCACACCTTTTAGCTGAAAAAGGTGAGAAATCTTTAAGTCAGAATTGGAAATTATATTTTTGTTCTGTTTTCACAGGCCAGGTCTTGACTTACGACAATATTAGAGAAGTTATCAAGTTTTGCGCTCGAGAAAAACTTGTATTATTTGCTGATGAAGTGTATCAAGAAACCGTGTTTACCGACGAGGTCCAGTTCCACTCGTGCAGGAAGGTCTTGAGGGACCTGGGTCCCGAATACAACAAGTTCCAACTGATGTCGATAAATTCAGTCTCCAAAGGATTTTACGGCGAGTATGTACATAATGTTTGAGATAACAGTATCAAACCAAACAACGGTGCTGTAAAAAAAATAGCTTTGAAGGGCTATCCCAACAACCCGGCAGAAAGAGAGCCTTCATTTTGACTCGTCGTAAGGGCTGGCCCAGGCCGTTTCTGATTAAGGGATGCCCTACTTGTGCACATCAATCATCGTTCTACTTCTTAGATCCTTGCTGCCATTAAACGTGTACATATATGTGACATTCTTCTCATAAAGGACCCAGCTTTAAAAAGTTCTTCTCCTGATTCAGTCCAGATTCAGTCGATTTGGAAAAGGCCTATGATTGTAATGCAATGAGAAACCCAGTTTCATGGAAGTTGTGTGCGAATCTTCAAAGCAGCTCAGTAAAAATACTATTAAGAAATAATCTGGTCTCACGGATATATTTAGGGCGGGTCGGGATTCGTCACTATGTAAGTCCAGGTTAGCCGACAAATCTTCGCATTTTGGATGGTCGCTTAGAGGCATTGTTTTGACTGTATTTAGTTTAATCTCTTTACTAGATGTGGTGTGAGGGGTGCTTACATGGAATTAGTAGGGTTCAGCAAAGAAGTCAAGATGCAGTTTAGAGACGTACTCTTTCCCAATGTTTCTCCAACGACTATTGGACAGGTATTACTAGCCTTCTCGGTCAATGCTTTTCAGTGGCGTATCAAAGACGATCGGTGGAAAGAGCCCACAAACTCGCTCGCACCACGAGACCCGAAATGCGTCGGCCGGCGAAATAATGGGACTTTGAGACTAGGCATGGCACGATCGTTTTAATTCAGCTAAGTCCACGTTTAGACGCATGCGCACGATTGCGCTTTCAATGGTAATTTTGAGCCCTGCGACAGGGTTCTAACTCCAAAGACATCAAGGTGCCCGTGCCTGAGCCCATAAGTTTTTCGAAAGGTGGATAACGTTATCTACCGGATAAATCTCTTTCCACTCGATAACGCAATTGGTTTTCCCAATACTTATCCACTGAAGAGCGATTTATCCAGGGGTGAATGCAATCCCAACATTTAAAACCACCGGAGCCTGTTGGTTACTCCAACTACGTTGACAGTTATTTTGCTTTAACACTAAAAAAATCTCTGAGTCGTGGACATTCCTGTATAATTATATAATTATTTATTTACTTATATAATTTATTTCATTTTTACGAGGCTGCTGTGAGTGCAATGTGCAATCCGCCAAGGACTGGTGACGAATCCTACGAGACTTTCATCAAGGTAAAATATAACCCTGCTTCGAGCTGTTGTACAGTAGCTCTTCATGTAACTTTTTTCTACTCAGTGACAGTTGTACACGTTGATGCGACGTCGGGATTTTTTATCCTTTCCTTATTTCCTGCAGGAGAAGACAGCCATTTTAGAATCTTATAGAAGGAAAGCCAAAATTACCACATCAATGTTGAATTCTCTTGAAGGAATCTCGTGCAGTGACGTAACTGGTGCGTTGTATGCCTTCGCAAAAATTGAACTTCCACAAAAAGCCATTGAAGAGGCTAAGGCGAGTACCTTTAATGGCCTGTAATAGTAACTAACCAAAAGGAGAAAATCTGATTCACCGACAGCAGGGATTCGACCTTATCATCCCCAAATACCGGCTGTGCGCTATTAGCTCTGCCGAGCTTCCAAGGAATTGTGATATTTAATAAAGGCCCAGGCAATAACAGTTTCTCCGTTAATCGGAGGTCCCCTCTCCTATTCTCTTTTTGGAAGGTTAAGCTTAGGTAAACGGATGCAACAACTCCTAAAAAGGTTGGGAGTTGTTGGCTAACAATGTTGCGTCCGTTTGCACGAGCAGGTTTCAAACTTTGAGCAACAACTCCCAACAACACGCAACATGCAATAGGGTGTGCCAACGGACGCAACATGTAACATCCAACAATCATGCGTCCTTTTGCGCGCAGCTTTAGCGGTTCATATTGCTGCAGGCGCCGGACACTCGGAGTTTTTTTTTTCCAACGTTCGTGACAATACCAAATGTGACACCTTTTTTCATTTATTTACCGAGCTTAACAGTTAATCTCTTTCGTTGTTTTGTTGTTTTTTCTCAGCTTAAAAATTGTACACCAGACGAGTTCTACACCTGGCAATTGCTAGAAGCGACTGGTTTACTCCCTATTCCCGGAAGCAACTTTGGGCAAAAAGAGGGAACATATCATGTCAGGTTAGGGCAGTCCTAATTTGCCTGACGCGGCCTAAAACAACGGCCAGTCAACTGACAACGCCCATTCAGTAATGGGAACAGTTTACTGCGCTGGTTAAGTACCTGTCAAAGATTACTTAATAGCTTCAGCATATTTTTCCTTAAGAGACTCAAAATCGAGTGCCTCCTTGTACCTTAAATGCAAAACAATCTAACGTGAGCGTTATTTTGTCTCGAATAACGAGAGCGCTTGCTAATCTGGTGGTTTTCCCGTGTGAATGCTTTCAAAAAACATTCACCAAATTAGCCCGGGTACCATCTGCTTTGGGTCGAGGTAAAGTTTATTGAACGAGACCATCGCCCGTACTCTCTCTGTCCACATTAGACCTCACCCTTACAACATCAATAGACACAGTGGAACTGAGATTTCGTTAGAACATGTTCGTAGAGGGGTCCCCTCTACTAACTATGGTTAGAAACGAGGATGCTTGCAGCAGCTGATTGGTACCACAGCAGAAGGCAACAGATTTTTACACGATTAATGCCATAAAAACTGCTTTCGAAACCCACCAACTATGAGTGAGGGTCTTAACTCAGGCACGTTCAATATATTAAAATTCTAGCGTGACTCCGAGGCTTTCTATGGTCATTTTTCTGTATTTGGCCTGGTTTTCTTGGTGCTCAAGTCTCTTCTGGGAATTGCGAGACAATGGAGTCGTGAAAACTTTGCAATTTTGACCTTAAAGCCTCGAGGTCGTGTTAGAATGTTAATTTATCGAACGTGGGCTAATTGACATATCAAAGTAATAATATAATCCTCGTTTGTTTTGTTTACTACAGATTTACTATTCTACCTTCTGAAGATAAAGTAGTTTCTATGTTCAACAGGATAAGCACGTTTCACAAGGAATTCATGGACAAATACAGATGACGACAAGCAGAACATATTTATCCAAACTTGTACATTTAATTATATGTTGTAGCTAATTTTTCTATCTCAGTTAATTTTTATTTTTCCATTGTTTTGGGGGATGGTAATGTATGCTAATGAATTTGAAACAGGAAAAACAAAAGTTAAGTAAAATAAAAAATTGACTGCAACATATACATTTTAATTTTCTTACATATCACTGCGTTCACGATTTTTGTGCGTATTATAATTGTGAGAATTGAAACCGTTTTGAATAAAGTTTGTTGTATTATGCATTCTTGTGTCTTTGCCCCTCTATTCTTACAAAATAGCTACATCCTCAGTCAAAATTGTTGGGACACTTTTTTGTCTTCCTGTCCTCCCAAAGTTGGAGTAAACCGCTCTCCAGAGCCGAACTAAGACAGGCCGAACTAAGCTAGGTTTGGCTACAGGAGTAGGTCGATGACCTAGATTGTCTAGGGAAGGGGGGTACTCAACAAATGTTTATACGGGGAGGCTCGTATAAAGGCCCCGAGGTCCAACCCCTTACCCTTTTATATACCCCTTTCGTATACCGTCTATTGGCAAATGGCACCCCTTTCACATACCTTGTTTAGAACTTTGCATCCCCTTTAATTGCTTTAAATGCGCTGTCGTTTAAATAGGAATCAATCACAAAAATAGAACGTTTTCTCGACATGTAATTCATCTGTTTTTGGGACCTTTCACAGACCCAAATGACAGGTTCCCTAACCTTTTATATACTTCATTTAGTGAAATCCCAACCCCTTCATATACCTGAAGCCTGAAAAAGATACCCATTTCGGGCGGAGTCTCCCTGTATAGGCCATCACAGGGAGTATCCCCCGAGTAGATTGTATCCCTCGACTCTGCGACACAATAAATTTTCATGCACTTCACGAATTTTGCATTGCGGTATTGATAGTTGGGTGGCATGGGTAGGAAGATTGCGACCTAAAAATGAAAAACGAAGAACTGCTCGCTATCATGCAGCAGCCCTTGAAATCAGGATAATCGGCTTCCGTCGCGTGTGTCGCAACCCGCAAAAGAGTTCAGATCGAAAATGTGGAGGGTCTGACGCCGAATTCGCACGAGACTCATGGCTCAATTAAACTGTCCTTGAGTAAATTTTTTCTTTTTTTTTTCTTTTCTTTGTAACAGTTAGACCATACATGTACACTACTTGTGCCAAAATCAAAGAAAACGTAGGAAAAGAATCATTTGAAAGTATGATCCGTCATCCAGCTGCCCAGGACTTCAGTGATCCAGTTCAAATTTTCACGATCGTCAGCTGATCCCTAGGACCTGATTGCGTGACAGAGTGACCAGAGATACTCACTTAGCGACTCATTCAAATGCACACTGGCACGTCAAAAGATCATATGCTTGAAATGGAGGTTCTTACCGATGAAAACATTAGTCCAGCTTTCAAGAGAATCAAATATGGAATACGAGGATGGCTCGAAGATCGCACTTATGAAATAAAGCAAGAGCTTGCTCGCGTGAGTATAATTTATTCAGAACGAGCTTTTCAAAGGCTTATTATGCTCGGATCGGGGCTGGGAGTCAGGCTATTTAAGTACCCACATTTTTCATCCAACTACACTGTCAGAGAATGGTCTTATACCCTAGGCCATCTTCTGAGATTGTAGGCTATTTACGTTCCTAAATAGGTCCTTAACCGCTATCTACAAGTGTACAAAGCACAAAGCAAAAATGATGCAATAGACCTTCGTCAAGCGGCGGCCATTTTGTCTCAGAATATTAATTAAAAAGCTTTGTTTATGCACGCCAGACTTAGGTAATCGATAAACCGATAATCGATACCTGTATCAATCATCGATGAATATCGATTTCTGATATCGATCGATAGACATTGATAAAGAAAAAAAGTTGTGACTTCGATTAATATTGATGATTTTCCGATAGAAATCGATAAATGATTCTTCATCGATTACTATCGATTCCTATCGATTGTTATCGATTTTGTTAATCAGTAACAATCGATAGATTGTTTTTTCTGTGACTTCGTTTTTTATCGATTAACTACGTCTGGTGCACGGCTTGTAGAGAGAACGAGGCTAGCCGTGCATTTATATACAAAGCTTTTTAAATCTCCTGAGACAAAATGGACGCCACGTGACAAAGGTCTGTTGTTACAGGGCCTAAAAAGCATGTGTGCCACAAGCAGCCCAGGTTAGTATTTGTAGCAAAATCCATGATAGATCAGCCTGCATGTAGTTGTTGTTGTCTTTTATACGATCTCACGTCAGTCTCAAGCCCAAAGCCTAAGAGTCAGCAGTTGTTCACCTCCACTCTATAGAGCAACAATAACAACTGTTTAACTCCTTCTTTATAGCCCCATTTTCTAGAAGTGCTGATCTAAAACTAATCCCACAGTAGGTTATTACGAGCAGTTATGAAGGGGCAGCACCAAAACACGGAATCCGGAATCCGGAAATGGAAATGGAATCACGGAAACGGAAATGGAATACGGAATCAAATATCAATGATAGAAGATTAAAGAATTTTTCATTACAGAATTTAGTACAATCCAAAGAGAATTTGTCTTAGTTTTCTTGGCAGTTTCCTTAAATATATTCTTGTTATTGTGTTTTGATAAGGTTTGCCGTAGTGTGGGTTACTGCACTGCAAGGCCGATGAAAGTAATTTTACGTGTAATTTTTATTCACGAGTTCATGGGTTGAATAATACAGTTAAATATTACTTTTGTAGCTAATTGTCAAGAATAGTCATAGTTAGCCTCAGACCACGCCACGTGATTGTCCCCAAACTGAATACTCCACACGTGACCGACCAGTGACGTGACTACAGTTCCAGTGTTTTAGCAATAAGTTCAAATTTTTCGCCAAGCTAAATACTGATGGAATACTGGTGTACCGGTCATTGAGTTTACGTGGACGTCCGTATTTTTGTTGAAGAGGCTTATTAAACATGGCGCGGAATCAAGCAAATGCATGCACAATTCTCTCTTCTCTTTGGACCACAATGCCACGGTTCTCTTGAGTAAGTTGTCTTGATAAATAAAACTGAACACTGTCGAAGACAACCCAGAAAAGACACTGAGAAAAACTTGATGGCGACGCCTTTCAGTTACCGGTATGTAAACGACGCCTCTGACGATTCAAACGAAGTTTGTCTAACTTACCTTTTTCTTAAGGCACTAGTTTTTTTGCCAGTAACGTTTTTCTCCTTGCTTTGCTGTCCCATGAGAAATTTATTTCATTGCCGATAGTGGTATCAAGCGTCTTTTCACCGGAATCGACTCCTCTAGTGATACAGCAGTCTCCTCTCCTCTACTCAGCTAATTTATTCATTTGTGTCTTTTTTTTATCTGTTTATTTATTTCATTGTCATTACTAATATTCTTTTTTTCAAATCGATCGCTTGGAACCTTCTTTCACAGATTCCGTATTCTGTTTCCGTTTCCATTTCCGTGATTCCGTTTCCGTTTCTGGATCCGGATTCCGTGTTTTAGTGCTGCCGGTTATGAAGTCCGTTAAAAATGGCTTTTAAGGATCAAATTGTTAATATCTTAATTAGTGTTGCATAAAAGAGGACTTAAAGCAGTCTGTGTAAAGAAAAAGCATACTGGATATCAAGGGGTAGATGTTCCACTCTGGGGTAATTGTGAGGAAAGAATAATACTCTCTATAACAGAACTTCGGCACTAGAATATTCCTGAAGTACAGTAGACTTTAAGATTGTCTGATAGCATCCTCTGATCCAGTTAGAGTGGCAATAGTTTTGTACTTGCATTGTACACCCTAACATGTCACAATGGAACTCAACTGGTTTGAATTTGTGTGTCATGAAGCAAGGCCAAGATGACCCAGAATCTCAATTTTATTGATATAATGATAAAAGTACACACAAGAGGACATGATGCAGGGAATTAGTGTCCCACAGGCCAGCAACTTTTTTTTTTCTCAAGATTAGGGGTGGCGAATGGTACCTCGAAAAACGTGGGTCTCGGAAAATTTTGGCAGGATCTCGAAATCTCGGAAGCGTTTTTGATAAGTCTCGAAGTCTCGTTTTTGCATGGTTTGTTTTTACTGTTTTTGAGTCTCGAAACATTCTACCAAAAAGTCTCGGGCTCGGATTTCTGACTAGGATCTCGGCGTGTCGGCGAGTCTCGGATTTTACCATTCGCCACCCCTAAGATTGTTCTCTGCACCTTTAAGTAGTGCATAATGTTGCATAATCTCTCTCCTCTGTAGAGATATATTACAGCATACACATAATCCAGTAACACAGTTGACACATTTTTCACTGCATTCCAGTAATATGTAGTAGCAAAATTAAAATGACCCGATATGGGCTGCAGATACTCCTAGGAGTTGGTCCATCACTGTGACAAACTTAATCCTTGGCAGCTTTGACCTACATTTAAGGTCTACTTAGAGATAATTGAATGTGACTTATATACACATAATGCTTCTTGACAATTTTATTATAGGGAGATAGCAAACCTTTTTCAGAAGTTGTCATACATCTAGGAAACCCACAAGGCATGGGGCAACCACCTATTACCTTCTTTAGACAGGTGAGTATATTAACTGTCCTTGTTTGTCAGGACTTAATAATGTGAGGATAGACTATCAGAGGCAGATGCAGAAAACTGAGAAAGTGGTGGGAGAGATGTGGCCAAGACTCCTGCCAACTATTTTTTTCCTGAGTGTCCTTGGACCATGCACCCCTAAATCAACCCATGATTTTCATCTTTTTGTTAGAACCTTGAAGCATAAATCAATGTCCTCATGCAGAACTGCATGCCTAAACTTTATTCATCCAAGCTATATTAAATTCAGCCTTCAGGTTATAATACCGCACTTTAATTAAATAATTTTACAATTTGAGCTATAAATGCTGCTTTTCTCCTTTTCAATGGAAACCTAATCTTTTTTAAAGGCTCTTTTGGTTGTATAATAAAGTAAGGATGAAAAACGTTTACTCTAGTCTTGAAGTTGGTCACATGCTAATATCCGATACCTATAGAATTTGGATATTACAACCTTTAGAACCAAAAGCCCTCCCTTAATTTTAAGTGATTTATTATAATATTACTGATCACCACTACATAGGATAGACTGTGTGTGTAATTTTTTGCAGGTTATGGCTCTTCTTTTGTGCCCTGACCTTTTAGATGATCCAAGCTTCCCTCAGGATGCTAAAAGAAGAGCCAAGAGAATCCTCGATGACACAATTGGACATACCATAAGTTAGTAATAATAATAAGAAGTTTGCCATTATTTGAGTGAACCTTAAATGTGGGTTAATAATAGTGAAACAGATGCAGTCTGATCAGTGCAGCAGTTCTTTTTCAATTTGAGTGCCTGATGTTCACATTTATTATATCATAATAATTCTAACAAATCTCATTTGTCATCAATAACCCTGACTGGGATTTTCCATTAAATTTCCTTCGTACAGCCACACCTTTTCTTGTCTAAAACCAGGAGGGCCACCTATCTATCTACCTAGCTTTCCTCAGATGACTCATACCCCCGCAGAGCTGACTGATCTCCAAATCTTGAAATGCTAAGTTTGCACCCTGCTATTCTTAGCACCTCTCAAAGGCAGATAGTGTCATATTTAGGGGTCAATCCATCTTTGAGTTCCTTTTAGTTCCTTCTATTCAGTTTCCTTAGTCTTTAGTTGGCACAGGTGGGTTGAGTTTCTTGTTGGTTCTCTTCCTCACTCCGTTTCTTCCAGCACCCTAGTTTAATTTCCCACTCCTCAAATTAAGCCAACACATCCAAATTCCAAGTCGATCTGGAATGCCTGGACATGTTCGAAACGAGTTCTAAAGAACTCCTCTTTTGCAATATTTGTGAGTAATATTTTAGTTCAGTGCTAAAGCACTTAATAATCAGTGATCACCTCCAAATTTCCATGATGGTATCTTGAATATGAACTCTAGAGAAGGAACTATAAAATTATGGTTTGCATTTACCCTTTTACAGGTAGCTACACTTCAGCTCAGGGTATAAATGTTTTGCGTCAGGATGTGGCTAATTACATTACACAACGAGACAGTTATCCTGCAAACTGTGAGGATATTTTTCTGATAAATGGAGGAGCAGAAGGAATTGATGTAAGTTAATGTGATTGCTTCTGGATTGACATCTAACAAATGTTTTTAAATGTGTGCTTTTGAATTGGTACATTAAGCTACAATTAGTTGCTTGTCCTTTCCATCATCATTCTCAATATCATCATCATCATTACTAATTTCATATTAGACATGAAGTGGGAATATTTTTTATGTTAGTGTAAAGTGGTGAACAAAGCTGAGATAGAAAAACAAATATCAGTAAGTACCAAGTCACCTGAGTAAACCTAGTGGTAACTGAAAAAATAATGGTTTGTTTCGCCACACAGGTCATGATGGGAATTATTTCAACAGGAATCACGGAAGGAAAGGGCCGAGCTGGGGTAATGATTCCTATCCCTGGATATAGCATGTATCAGGCGAGGCTACTGCAACACAACACACACCAGGTAATACCTATTTGTCTCACTTGCTGTCACTTCCCGCGTAGCCTGTTCCAGGCGTTCAAATAGTAGAACACAGTGATTGAGGTAAATCGTACACGGAGGAAACGAGAGGAGAGTGGGGCGAGAGCGAAGGAACTCTCTCTCTCTAGTCTCTCCCGTTATTTTTTTTCCTCGTTAATTAATTTTTCGACCGCGCTCTATTATCTGAACGCCTGGAACAGGCTACTTCCCGCGAGAAGTGACACGCGTGTTGCGTCTTATTTTAGGAGTTGTTTACACTGTCGCTCACGCATTTTCCTCTACTTAGTCTCATAGCTGGCGGTTTTGTGTGGGAGGGGCAGCGTAAAGGAGTGGTAGGAGAGTGGAGCGCTCTTTCGCACACGCTTCGCGCGTGCTGTCGCGGCTTTACTTCGCTTTTCACGCTTGCTGAGCAGTAAACTGTAACGTCCGATAACTGTTAAGAAGAAAGAGACTTGAGACTCTAAAAGATGCATGGTTGTAAATTTGAATTAATTGTTCGCATACCGAAACTCTACTCCTGTATTTTCCAAGCAGATTTTCCATCTTTAAGAGCCGTTGGCGCGTGCGAACCACTACTAGAAAAGCAAAATATTACAAAACAAAAAACGCTTTGCGGTGTTCGAGCGAGTCAGCTTCTTCGCTGCACAAAATTCGTCCAAGTTTGGCTGATTTTCACTAACCACAGTGACCGACCGGTCGTACTCGGAGTCGTAAACGGTTTCATAAGCTTAAAAGCCGGAATCGGAGTCCCAAGAATCGGAACGTTTTTGTCTTCCGATTCCGCTTACGACTCCGCCGCTTACAGTATAGAAATAACGACATGAATAAATCAATCACAGGTCTCGGTACCAAGCACGGTGGCATGTTGAGAAAGACTGATCTATCGCTTCTCCTTACAAGTGTAACAACCTTGTAGTTTTCCCTACTGACTTTGTAAGCGACGGAGTCGTAAGCGGGATCGGACTTCTTTTTCACTAAATCATAACGCTTTGCACTTCTAATTACGATTAGTGAAAACTGGACCAGCCTTACCTTAAGAGTTCCCGAAACTATCCGTCAACCAGAATAAATCTAAGAACTTGGTTCCCGTTTTGTTGCAGCAAGAATTTATTACTTCAAACTCCGGCATTCTTCATCAGAGACCCCAGGAGAAAATTACGTTCTACACAATTTTTTGTTTATTTTTTATCCTAAAGATATTTTACCTTCTTGACGAAGACAACAACTGGGGTTTGAATATGTCTGAACTAAAGAAAAAGCTGGATGGGGCAAGGCCGCACTGTTTACCAAGAGCTCTTGTGCTGATAAATCCAGGCAATCCAACAGGTACATTGAATGTTTATCTATTTGTAATTACCTGCAATAATAGCAATGAAGATGATGATGATGATGATGATGATGATGATGATGATCAATGATAATAAAATTTCTCTATTTACTCTCGACATTGTTTTAGCACACAGTCAGGTTATTGCGTTCGAGCTTTCTTTTTACGGGGTGTCTCTTATAAAAGGGTGTTCGTTATACCAAGGTGTTAGCTATATAGGCGTTCTTTTTACCGGGGTGTTTTTTTCTCCTTTTTTTGATGAATTCCTCCTTATACCGGGATGTTCATTATCCAGGCAGTCGTTAAACTAGGGTGTCCGTTATATAGAGATTCTACGTTAAACCGAGGTGTTCGTTATATCAGAGTTTAACTATAAAATGTAAACCAAGAGACTATAAAGGGGACAGAGAGGGCATCCCCCATATACACCCTATTCCATAGGTAATTCGTCTCGAGTTATTTTTAACACCACAGATCTCAAGGGGGATTAGACAACAGCCAATCACATAGCGCGAATGTGTTCCGCGTGGATGACCCACGCTGAGAGCCACGCGTCCTTCACGAAATGACGCAGAACAAAATGGGGGAAGACGCGGAGAGCGATTTTGCTATTCCTTTTGTCGACGAAAACGACTACAGCAAGATTTCTGCGAAAGCTGTGTCAGCGAAACCGAAATTAAAAAAGAATCGCCCTTCCTCTCTTGTATAGAGCTAACAGTAGAGCAGGGAAATCCTTAACACACTGAATATTCTCTCAGGATCATTTATAATTTACAGTTTGAAGTGAGCAATTTCTGGTTTGATGTTTATTTTTTTCAGTCTTTGTAGCGATTATTCCTACCCACTTACTTTGTCAATTGTAGGCGAACCCTCTTAAAGCTGAATTTCAAGGACCATATTCAAGCTCAGAAAGAGAAATAAAATTTCGTCGTTGCTTATTTACGTCCTCCATAAAACGCGAAATTAGCCATTTTCACGTCGTAGTCGTGCAAAAACGGGAAAGAAATGAACAAAAAAGTGTGTTGCACGTGCGAAGTTGTTGTTTTGCTAATTAAACCTATTGTTTTTTTGACGTTCTAGTTGTCGTCCGCGTCGTTGGATCTTAAACTCCCTAAATTGTACAAACGACCAGTTTCAATAGACCGGCGAAATTTCTCATTTCATTAAAGCACTGAGGTTACGACAACTTCGAGTTAAACTGATTTCACGGGTTGTCAAAGATTCCAGCGATTCCTTTTTCCCAGGTGAGCGCCGACTCATTTCGCTTCAATATTCAGGAATGCTCTCGATCTTTTTACGCTTTCATTGCCTCTCGCCCGACATGTTTTGCACGGCGTTTGGTCATGCGAAACCTCCACGAAACATCCACTCCTCGCGCGAGGTAACTTTATCCCGATTCTAAAAATAACTCGAGACGAGTTACCTATGGAATAGGGTGTATATGGGGGATGCCCTCTCTGTCCCCTTTATAGTCTCTTGATGTAAACTTGTTCTGTCCTTCGTTTATCCATTAACATTAGTCACGTTTGCTTCTTGTTTATATATAGGTCAGGTGTTGACGTATGAAGACATTCAAGAGGTAATCAAGTTTTGTGCTCGTGAGAAGTTAGTTTTATTCGCCGATGAAGTTTACCAAGACAACGTGTACGCGGAGGGAGCCCAGTTTCACTCGTGCAAAAAAGTCTTCAGGGACCTGGGAGACGAGTATAGCGGATTTCAATTGATCTCTCTTCATTCCAGTGCCAAAGGGTACACAGGCGAGTAAGTTGTGCGTGTGTGTTTTTCCTCTTCCTTGTTTGTTTTTGTGGCCACCTTCGGGTAGTAGACAAAAATGATTTAGTGTCAATTTTGTACCCTTGGATTCTGTTTGCCGGGCTTATTTGATTGCACATACATAACCACAGACAAACCATTATTAACCCTTGCACTCCCAATTGCAAATTACAAATTTCCACCGAAATTTCTTGAACAGTCGTCAGGTGTTCTTTCCAACTGTATTTTTGTAAACGGTAAACAACCTTTCTCCCCATCATGGCGGTTTCGTACCATGCCAATGACAAGCTGCAATGGGTCAATATTTCATCTACCGCGGCTACTGGACTTTCTTCATTGCTGTTCCTTGCAGATGTGGGCTCAGAGGTGGATATATAGAGCTGGTAGGATTCAATGATCAACTCAGGTCTCGAGTTAAAACTTACCTGAGTGCAAGAAGTTGCCCTTCCACAATAGGACAGGTACGAATAATGTATGTCATGTAGTGAAATGGGACAGAGGTCCCTAGTGAAAGGACTGCCTCAAACCCTAGTCCCGATTTCCACTTTGAATTCCTGGAAAGACCTCAGTTAATACCTTTCGTTAGATCAAAAGTATCTAGGTGCTTCTACGATGACTTATTAACATCTCCCAAGTCATAGACTAGCCTGGTTGCTTGTGTTTCTCTTTTCGTTCTATTGGCTTTGTGTTGTTTCTTCCTCTTGTTGTTTTTTTTTGTTCTATGGTGCTCAGGGTAAAAATTGCAATAGTTCAGATGTAACTTCATCGTACTTAGGCGTCTCTCACACTATGCGCAAAGAATGGCGGGATGGTGAAAGATGACTTTGCACTCCTTTCTTACTCCTCCCGTGCCTAGCCCCTAGGCCTCATTTTTCCGCCCGGCCAAAGCGTTTCGGGTCACGTGGATTATGCGAAAATGTGAGAGCGTTTCCCGCCCGTTCGCCTCGGATACGTCACCGAAACGAAATGACCGAGAGGGACTGGGAAAACGCCGTACAGGGACTAGGCAAACTCCTCCCATAAAGCTTCGCGCTTCTCTTATTTCCAGTCATTCGCCTTGTGTCGCGGGAGTCTCGAAGCGCTTGCAGAGGAAGCTGTTAGTGCTTTATTGTAAGGTACTCAGTCTGTATTCATTACGCTTGGTTTCTAACCCAAGGTAATCATGGGACTCACTTGCAACCCTCCCAAGCCTGGCGATGAATCATATGAAAAGTTTTCAAAGGTATGCTCCTAACTGTAACTTAACCCAGAGAAACTCACGCGCCTCGCGTGATCATAATCAGTGCTACTTTATCTCTCGTGTAATTTTTTAAAGGGGCTCTGTCACGGCTGACTAGTTTATATGGTTGATAATGGCAATAACGAGTCATTATTCGCTATGGAACTTGAGAACTTAGTACTTAGTTGTGAATGACAGAATAAATAGCGTCGTATTATTCTTTTTTTAGCTGGTCTCTAGTGCTCAGGCTGTAACGCGTTCCAGGTTTTAACGAAAATGTAACAATTTGAACCGTAGCTTTTCACGATACAGATAAAAGCAGTGAATAATACAATACTTAGTCAGGTGACGCCTCTAATGCCTGACATGGGATAGCCGATTTAACAAATAAAGCTTGTTCCTCTAACCCCGGGCACCAGAGGTTTTTCTCGCGCGTGGCGGGATCCTTCGGCCCGCGGGCCGAAGCCACGAGTAGCGATAAAGATTTGAAAAACCGGAAGCCGTGCATGAAAAGTCTCTGGCACGCAGGATAGGTTTCCATTGATTCTTTTTCCCAAACAAAACGTCAGATTCGAGTCTTGCGCAAGTAAAGTTTGCCAAGTGCTGAAGTCGCTAAGGGACTAGGCCGAGTAAACAAAAATTTCTATTTTCTCCTGGAAAATTCGGCAATCTTCTTATAAATGTATAGAAAATGATCTTTAATTGCGACGCACTAGGGAAATCTATAGAGGTGATTACCTTCAGAATTCCCATATCTTGCCTAATGCATTATTTGTGTGTTATCTGTTTTATAGGAAGTAACATCCATCAAGGATTCTTACAGGAAGAAAGCAAAGATGACAACAGAGGTTCTTAACTCAATGGAAAATGTTAAGTGTAACGAGGTGGCAGGTGCAATGTATGCGTTTCCGAGGATAACACTTCCAAAGAAAGCTATCGAGGCAGCCAAGGTATCATGTCTTGTTTCCGGTCCTGATTTCTAGTGCCACACTGCAGAATACTGTCAGTAATGGATATCCTAGGTGTACGGTAATCTGAATTCCGGAATCCGGGAATTTTTTACGTGTGGAATCCGGTAGGTGTACGGTAATCCGGATTAGAATACTGTCAGTAGTGGATATCCTAGGTGTACGGTAATCCATAATCCGGAACCCGGGAATTTTTTTCTTGTAGACTGATCCGGAATCAGTTCAGGGGTTTGAAATTTGGAATTCAGACCCGGTTGTTCAAAAGATGGGCAGCGCTATCTACCGAATAAATCACTATGCGATAGATAAGTATGAGCGAAACCAATTGCACTATCCACTGGATAGAGATTTATCCCGTGGATGGCGTTATCCACCTTTTGAACAGCTGGGGCCTGCTCTATATATGAAGCCCGGAATCTCGCCAACGATTGGAATCTGGAATCCACGTTTCATGGACAAGGAATATTGAATCCAGTACCCGCCATCCCGGATCAACAACATAAAATCCGGAATCCACAACGTGCGATCAAGAAGCCAAGGTTCTCGTTGATGCACCTTATGTTAGTGGAATGCCAACCCGTTTCCCGCCGTGTCAGTTTTCACAAAAGGCGTTCTTCGGTTAGAAAAAGTGAAAGGGACGCTATAGGCTCACATATTATTCAGGCTGCTGATAATGTTCCGGGAAAATTAAAATTTCATTTTCTCGACTTTCCAAATTACATTCCTAAATTCCATATGTCGTATCGATCTAGTAACAGCTCCCAGAGAAGGCTTCATCGAGGGATTCTTTAAAATACAAATATTCCCGTCACAAGGAAAGTATGTATGTGGTCTGTTTGGTGAGCGAAGTGAAAGGATTTTGGGGTGGACAAAAGTAACGTGTACTAAGTTGTTTGTATAATTGTTTTGTTTGTATAATTGTCATTGTTATTTAGGCCAAGGAAATGCCACCAGACGAGTTTTACTGTTGGCAGGCGCTGGAGAAAACTGGAATTTACATGATTCCTGGCCACGTTTTTGATATGAAAGGCAGCGGTAACAACTTTTACTACAGGTAAGATTTGAATCTACAAGAGCCATCAACTTCAGGTCGAAACTTTGATGATTTCAAAAACCTCCATGTGATATCATTTGCGCCCTTGTGTCACAAGGTTTTCACAGGCTTGTCTACTATATTTAGATTTATTAGATTGACTACACCTCTAAATTTGAAGAGACCCCTCTTTCCCCCCAACCCCGAAGAATTCTGCCTTTGTACCACAGGAACACCAAATTAGGATGCGTTCTGACGAAAGCAATAAGGGTATAAACAGATCGGCTCATAGTGGGGTCTTAGTGTAGGGCCTGCAACTGGGATAAAGTTGGTATGTACAAATAGAAGGGCTTACAACCGGGATTATACGGTATAGACCAGAGCTTAAACTTACATAGGAAAAGGCGTCCTAAAAGCAACTTGTCTGTAAAAGCGACGTTCTGTCAGCGTGTGAAAGTCTGATGAAATTTGACCAAGTTTTATCGCCACATTATGGGTTAAAATAATCCAAAACGTTTTGATTTTTCAGACCCACTATCCATACGAAGGAAATAACTTTAAACGGTTTCATGTTTTAATCTTTCTTGGTAGGATCACTATTCTTCCTTCTGAGGAGACGTTCGCTCCAATGTTTGGGCGACTAAAAACCTTTCACCAAGAATTCATGGCGCAGTTTAAGGACACGAACTGACAAGATGGATTTACTGGATTTAGTTTCCAGTGATGACAATATTCAGTCCGGACTATTTGATATGTCTCCATCAGGGGAAAGTTTTCTGACGTAAAATACATGTTTGAAGCTTCTCGAGAAAGGCTAAATAGTTTTAATGACTCTTCATTCATCTATGATTTTCAAAGTTTTTCAATTGACTTCCCTTCCCAGATTTGGCTATATATTATCTCTCAAAAAAAGACCCGGAAATGTTCATCATTGAATAGTGGCAGAAAGAGTCTTGAATGTATCTGGCAAGCTGTACACAAATGTCCTTAACCACACAACGAGGAAAAACAACATTCTCATAATCCTCTCCTAAAATTGGCGTGAAAAAAAGACACTTTTAACAATCTTCTAACTTTTCCCATCTGAAGGACACTGAAGTGTGCTTTTCCCATTTCAGCGGTTTTCCGGCCCATTCCTTGTGATATTCCAGACACAGATAAGAACGTAAAGAAATCCTGTTTATATAAATAGCAGCTTTATTGAAGTGTCTTAAAATGCTGATTTTAGTAACAGAGGTATTTTATCTTCAAAACAGGTCGCATTGTTAAAGTAGCTATCACGTTGTGAAAAAACAAATTAAGAACTTAACAACAACTTCTGCGCTTTATGTACATAATGGATATATTTCATGTTTTGCGACCACAATCATAATGACTAACTCTAAACAAGGAAATCTAAATGATATCTTTCCATTTTGGAAGCATACTAAACGTAACGAAAAGATAAACGAGACTACTAACCGTCTCTATATTTAGTTGTAGTATTTGAAGACATACTGTGGTTCAACTTATCAATGGTTTAGATTTTGTTTTCCTTAGTGCTGCGGTATGGTTATGTACGATTGAGAATCAGAGTTTAAAACAAAGGAAAAAAGCATTTGAACCAAGGAAAACTTGCACCACAACATTTATTTGGAACCTTTTTATTGAACTTTAAAGGCCGCAATAATAGTATACAATCAACTTTTTTTTTTTTTTTTTTTGTTATGAAGATGACGAAATCATTAGTTGGATTCAAGTGTTAAACAAAGTACATTAAAGCGCATGAAGAGGAATATCTTGGGCATTTTGTCTTCGTTGACGTTTAAATAACAGCAGGAGAGCTTTCCTAAACTCTGGAATTCTGATTGTGTAAACGATGGGATTAACAAGCGAGTTCATATAAAAAGAATGGTTAAAAAAAACAGTCCAAACGTTTTAATTCCTGGAAAGAAAGGAATTTCCTAATACTAGATTGAGATAAATGAAAACAATAAACCGTAAATGGTAGCCACATCAGTAAGGATACGATAGTCATTATGAATAATGTTACGGTCAGTTTCCTTTTTCTGTTGGCTGCACCATGGTGCTGGGGATGCGCTCCACACAAAAATTTAACAACAATGGAAGAGTAAGAAACAAAGATAACAAATAGAAACAAAAAACAGTATGAATGCACTAAGTAAAGATGATGTGACCATTCTTCCCCATATTGTCTAAGTATTGAAGCGGCAGTTGATACCATTGCAGCTAAAACCCAGACACCAGCAATTGTTACCCCGTAGACCCACTTTTTGATGAGGCGATGCCTGAAGGGACGAATTGTTGCATGCATCCGATCTAATGAAATCGCTGCAATGTTTGTTAGAGAGGTCAGAGGAAACCAGAGGTGGAGAAAGGTAATTATCACAATCAATTCCAGGCTTAAGTTCATTTTCGTAATGTCGCATGTGTCTGAGAGGTGTTGAAATAGAGGAAAGTGAGAAAATCCTCCGACAAACATATCAGCTACGGTCAGGTTTATAACTAGGTACATGGCACGAGTGCGAAGACTGCGGTTTTTTAAAAAAAGAACGATTGATATAAGGTTCACTGTTACTATAGCAGCAGCCACGGTAATCAATACAGCAAACCAGGTGATGCACTCAGATGAAGAAAATTGCATGACTTGTTTTCTTCTTTTACTCCTTTTCGCTTCACACTTTTTCAGTAGGAGGTGAACAAACAAGGTTGACGTCTGTTTTTCAAAGATCAGTAATGAAGATACATGAATAATAATAATTCCACGAATTAGGAAGCTCACCTTTAACTTACAGTTTTTCAAATTGCCTTCAAAAAAGATGAAGTGAAAATCCTTGTTTTCACCTGTGGAAAAAATATCAGTGACGTTTGAAGCTAGGTATATTTGGATAAATTGGTTGACTAAAAGCTGAGGGCATTAAATTTCATTTCAGCTGAATATTCTTAAAACTGAATTAACGTCAGCGCTCGACGTTCACCTGAGTATAATAATAATAATAGTTAATTATATGACGGTGGTGGTTATTTACAGCATTTCCAAAGAAAATGGCTCTACATCTGCAGATAAAATATATTATAGTATATCCAGGGGCACCCAAAGAGGATATAGTTCAAAACCACTAAACATAGCATTGTTGAACGTATTTTAGTATTTAAACGGTAGATATAGGCATATTTTTATCGCCTAAAAACTTTTCATCTGTTCGGATTTGCTAGCTGAAAGTCTAGTGATCCGAAAATTATAGGGATAAAAACTTACCTTCTCGAAAATTTCAGCCAGGAAAACGCTCCCGAAAATTCTAGGTGGCCTTTTTTAGGGTCAAAATCCGTTAAAAATGGGTAATTATACCATTTTGTAGATGTTCGAAAATCCCAGGAGAGGCAGGCAAGCAAGAAATTTGACAACAAATGCTCCGAAAATTCTAGATCTCAAATCGTCTTCCGAACAGATATTTTCCCGAAAATTGCCGTTGGGTGCCCCTGTATATCTAACCGATTTTTGGAAAACCAACCTAACGAAATTTGCAGTCATTTGACTGAAAAGGCGTCAAAAGGCAGGTTTCTTAAGCCCGAGAACGGCTCCAAAATCACAGTAACGAAAGAAAAGGAAAGGAGAAAAAGAAAGAGCGAGGAGATCAGCAAAAAGCAATGGTTGTACTCTTAGTTTTTATAATGAGCTACTTTGGATATAGTTTTTGGCCGAAAAAAAACTGTTGGACGAAAAAAGGTCCATTTGACGATAACGTTTTCAAAAATCCGGCTAGATATATACAGCTAAACATATGTTATTACATCAGGAGCAAAAAATGTTCGCGGTAAAATGCAAAAGGTACTACTAACTAACTAGTTAACTAACAATCTAACTGTGGCTAAAATTGTATTTGAATCTGTTACATTAATACTTTTTTAACTTTTTTATTTCTCTCTTTAAAAATATTGAAGGTCTGTTTGGTATATAGGGAGTAATTGATCACCAAAATGAAAATGTGACTATCATTTCAGTTAACCTTTCTAAGACAATCAAATGTCCATAGTGAGACCGGAAAAAAAACTTATTACATGTTTCATGCAAACTCTTCGTGAACAATTTCACTCAGTTAAAGGAGCTGAAATTTCTCGATGAAAATATGACTGAGGAGGGCCTTAAGTCGCGGCTTAGCTCGGACAATCCTTGTATTTTAACATTTTCCATTGCAAGTATTTTTAGGTAAGTATATATTTTAGTGAGGAGGAAAGAAACATCGCTCTACAACCCGTCCACCATATCCCACCCCGCCTCTCTCCAAAATTTACTCAAACCATTTAAGGATATCTTTAAGATTGTTGTTTTAAAAAGCAGCTCTGCAAATGCGTTCTAGGAAACTCTATGAAATTTGTATCTCTTTGGTCATCCTTGGGCTTCTTCAGCCGACGCGAATTTATTAGCGCGGCTTTACTTTTTCGAAAATCTTTGATACTATTAAATATACAGAAAACTCAACATTTTCCGATGTACATCTTTTTCTTCAACAGAGAAGTTAATAGACTGAAAACTTTAAAAAACTGAGATGAATGATACATTCATCTATGAATTTTTAACTTTTTTCGAGCTATAGAAATCTCTAGATAATATGTGCTTCTTCGAACAGCTATTTCACAGAAAGCAGTCGTAATTGGGTGCCCCGGGCTACCACATGAAAAGAATGAAGGTCCACTAGATGTGCTAAATATAGAACTTTCGTTAAACATTCGATTCTTAAGGATTACTATAATAAACATTGCGGGTAAAACCCAGACGAGAGTAGCAATTGTTACCCCGTAGACTCACTTTTTAATGAGGCGATGCCTAAGGGCTGTATAGGGACGAATTGTTGCATGCATCTGATCCAATGAAATTACTGCAATGTTTGTAAGAGAGGTCAGAGGAAACCAGACGAAGAGAAAGCCAGTTGTTAATGTCAGTTCCAGGGTTAAGTGCGGAAATTGCACAATGTCGAATAACTGAGAGAAAGGTTACAAATAAAGAAAAGAGAGAAAATCCTCCGACAAACATATCAAGTATGGTCAGGTTTATAACTAAGTACATAGCACGAGTGCGAAGACTACGGTTTCACTGTTACTATAGCAACAGACATGGTAACGAATACAGCGAGCCAGGTGATGCACCAGGATGATATCATGGCTTGTTATTTTTTTCGCTTCACACTTTTAATTCCCTTTTTCTCTCTGTTTCTCGTCTACCTTTCAGAAGAATTTGAAAAATATTTCAGTAAAGAACGTGGACAAAGAAGGTTGATGTTAGTTCCGCAAAGGTCACTAATGGAGATAAATTAGGACGCTGATCGACAGTATCGGTTGTTGGGACGAACGGTTTAGTTCTTATTCCGCATGCGTCTCTGCTGAAACAAAGGAAGTTTAATGGACGTGTTTTTCTTTTTTGTAAGCTATAACGGTTATCATAAAAAGGGAAGTCTTGATTTTGAACAGCGAATGGTCAAGGAACTTTCAGAGCTACTACTAAGAAAATATAAGTCATAGTTTTTCTACGTTGATGCAAACTATACATAAACAATTATATGAAAGAAGATCATCGCAGTTATAGACGCAACTGCAAAAGGCTTTCTTTTCCCAGCTGCAAAAGCTCCGTCTATAACTGCGATGATCTTCCTCCATATAATTCTTCACCCCTCAGTTCTCATATATGATTTTCATATATTCATAACTTTATACGTAAACAATTTCACTCGGTTAACGGAACTGAAATTTCTCATATGAAAAAATGAAGAGAGCCTAAGTCGCTTTCAGCTCGGCTAATCCCTGTCCTTAAACATTGCGAGCATTTATGTGTAGGCATATATATAGTGAGGACCGAGAGAAACATGGTGCTGCTTGAAACAACCGTATCATAAACAAAGCCAGCCGTCTCAAAAATCCTCTTATAATCATTTCAGGATATCTTTTAAGATTTTTTTAAAGCTTTGCAAATGCTTTCTAAGAAGCACTATTAAATTTTCAACTGTTTTGTAACAGTTCTAGAGCGACCTTTAGTCTATGCGAATGTAATACCTCCTTTTCATTATTGTTCCAAAAATCTTTAATGCTTTTGTATAGTTTACTGAAAACTCAACATTTTGTGATACCTCTGTCCGTTACTGTTTCCAAGGCCAAACATTTTAGTAGCCCTTTTTATAGTCCATGGGCCAAGTGGCTAAAAATGGCGGATCGTTACCAGCTTATCGTGTGTAGATTTAAAAATTATATGATGGAAATGATGTAAGAGTAGCTTAAAGGAGTCACGTGACCTTGAATTTTGCATAATTAGCATAAATTGATAATATACTAAAATGCGGCTTTTAGCAAGTAAGGCTGTAGATTCTGCATAAAATAAAGCAGGAATAGATAAGATATAATGTCTGCAAAGCATTTTGTTACTTTTAAGGATAAATAGTCACGTGGCAGTGACGTCACTTCCGGTCGCGGTAAAAACCCTCCATTTTTTGTATATTTTTCCTATTTTTTTTTTTTTGCTTCTTCCTGTTATGTGATTCAAAAGTACATTTTATAACATACGAAAAGGAGTAAAAGATAGTATAAGTAGTGTTATTTCAGATGCATGATTTATCATCGAGCGATTTTTCACCGGTATGGTGACCCTGTGGCGTTACTCTTGCAAAAGACTGGGCACAAATGTACCAGGAAGCCATCTTGTTTTTGTGGTAATTACTGTCCTCAAAGATGTGAACAAATATGGATACAAGCATACCTCGTTAAAGACAAAGACCTGAGCCTTATTGCATAATACATTGTACTGATGACAACACAACGTTAATAAGTCAAAATATAACCTGTGGTCGATACAAGCCTGCAAAACACATTCTGTTACCCTCGGCAGTCAAATCGCTAACAGGTATTTCATTATTATAAAATTTATTATAAATGTTTTTACAAGTGGCTGCAATTTATTCAGGACTAAACTTTCAACCTATTTCAGGTAATGTTGAGCTTATACAAATTCTAAACCGTCTTGGGCACGGTATATCATATTCTCAACTCGAAGAGGTTGATACAGCCCTGTGCCTACAAAAACTTGCCATGACACCTGAAGATGGCGTCCCTCTCCCAGGCAACATATACCCAGGTACAAATACTGTCCTCGCCTTTGACAATATTGATAGGCTCAAAGGAACCCTGTCCGGAGGTGGGACATCGCATCGTGTTAATGGTATCGCCGTTCACCCTGTTACTTACGGCCCTAATCAGCAAATAGTGGTCCCCAAGGTGGACAAGACAAAGAAAAGATCATTCTCTGCCCCAGAAGAGCCTCTCCCCATCTACAATGTCGGCAAGCGAGTTGGGCCCCCACCAAGAAAAGTGAGGGAGGTTGATGGCGAAACAATTCTTAAAGAATTTACAAAGAAGAATCTGCTGTTCATCCTTGCTCGTCTACATTATGCATCCCACCAACAAAAGGTCAGCAGCTGAGACTGGGTTAACATCATGGTTCACGACAAAGACGCCATCATTCCCAATAATGTAAGCTATTTGCCGACCATTAATGCACCAGCCACTGATGTTTCCACCGTGAACGAAGTCCTCAACCGATCACTCACTATCATGCGCTCGCTTCATCTCACAAGCATCATATGTGTTTTCGATCAGGCCATCTATACCAAGGCGTTTGAGGTGAGGTGCAAGGAGTATGAGAAGTTCAAGCCCATAGTTCTACGTCTTGGAACTTTTCATACCCTTGGTACATTGATCTCTATCATCGGTAAAAGGTTTCTGCATGCTGGTCTAAAGGACTTATTCATTGAAGCTGGGGTAGTGGCTGAGGGATCCGTGTCTGTAGTTCTGGAGGGCCGAAAGTATAACAGGGGTGTTCGTGTGCACAAACTGGCTTAGGAAGCATTCATGAGGGTGGCATTGGAAGGATTTTATCCTTGGCTTGACGAGTCACACCCAGCGGACAGTCGTCAAGTACAAACACGTCTTGATGAAATTGGTACCCTAGCTGATGAACTGTCTAAAGGAAGACACGATGAGGTTTTCAAGAGCCGAGTTTTCCAGCGTTTTTGTGACCTTTTTGCTGAATACACTCCTCATCTTCGGAATACCAATGGCCCCCTTTCAGAATTCTGGATGTCCTATGTAGACATGATCGAGCTACTAGTTCACATGATCCGTGCTTCTAGAGAAGGGAATTGGGAACTCCATCTCTCCTGTGTCCGCCAGATGCTCCCATGGTGCTTTTCCTAGGATGCTATCAACTACGCAAGATACATGTCAGCTTATTATAGCGATATGACAAGTCTACCAGATGAGCACCCTGAGGTACATGAGTTCATGAGAAATGGTGGATTTTCAGTTCAGTTGAGCAACGACAATACATTTGGAAGAATTCCCGTTGATCAGACTCTTGAAGAAACCGTAAATAGAGATACCCAAACACCTGGGGGTACTAAGGGCTTTAGTTTGAAAACTGGAGCCGTACAAAGGTACTACTTGACGGCAGAATTCAGAAATTTGTTCCTGCGCAGTTTGCGCGAAATGGTTGGCTATGCCAAAGGAAAGCACGGCCATGCTGACCTTCACTCGTCTCGCATTGCCTAAGATGAGAAAGATGTTGCCGCAATGGTTAATTTAATCAAGAACTGGACAGATCCATTTGCAGGTCATATGCAACTGTCCAGCATCTCAACAGGAGCTGTTGCCACTACTGCTATATATAGCAGAGGACCTTGCGACCGCCTATAAAGTTGAAGAGGCAGCCTACGCTGACTTCAAGAAGACCCGTCTCGAATCACAGCCCCAAAGCCGCAATCTGCAAATGCAAGATGTGTTAAAGCACCCATTAGGCCCTCTTCCTGCTTCCCTGGCCTGCAACAATGGCTTTCCCCGCAAGAGCAATAAGGCACAACTTGGCAAAAAATTAGAGAAATTGATACAGCCAACTGTAGAAGTAACAAGGCCTTCAGCTTACCTAATAGATGGGATGGCTTTGGTCCAAAAGCTGAACTTAGATTATCTCACATTTGGTGAGATCGCAGACAAACGCAATGGTTACTACAAAACAAGTTCGCAAGAGACTGGAAGACAAGGAGCTGTATGTAACATGTGGAAACCGATGCTACAAGATCATTGCCGAGAGAGTAGAGGAAGAAGAAGAGCTAAGATCCGAACAAGAGGAGGCTGATACACGACTTCTCCTGCATGTGCAACATGCAGCAAATGAGCAGCGATATAGGTCAATCATTGTATGCTCGGAAGACACAGACGTTAGAATCCTGTGCCTAGCGTTTTCATTTTCCATTGATGTACCGATTTATCAGCGTTGTGTTTCTCAACTGAACGCTCCGTATGTCGACATTGGAAAAATAGCCGACGTCATTGACCAGGATGCATGCAAAGCACTACCATGTTTGCACGCATTTACAGGTTGTGATGCAGTGAGTGCCTTTGCAGGGATTGGGAAAGTGAAACCCCTGAAGAGGTTACTGAGGAAAAAGGAAAACCAACGCACGTTCCAGCAACTTGGAGAAAACTGGTTGATGTCTGAAGATCTTCTGATGCAGTTAGAGGCATTTGTCTGTGATATGTATGGCTCAAAGAACGGTATCTCAGACGTGAATCAATGCAGATATTCGGTCTTCTGTGCAAAGAAAGGTAATAATAATAATAATAATAATTATAATAATAACAAACTTTTTTAAAGTGTCATATGAAGTTCGCTAATCGGAGACACCTAGCTATCTTCATAATATTAAGAAATTAGATCACAATAACAAAGAAATAAATTCAGCGATAAATGTAAATGTAAATGTTTTCCCGCCCCGTACCTATGATATATATTCATATATTCATTCAGGTGAAGCGGAATCCCATCAGCTGCCTCCACGCCAAGACAGCTTGTACAAGCATTGCCGGCGAGCCAACTATCACGCAGCGATATGGAAAAATTCTCTACGAAACAACGACATTCCATCCCCAGTTGGTCATGGCTGGTCTCTTGTAAATGACGGAGCACAAGAGAGATTAGTGATAGATTGGATGAGTGGACTCCTGGTACCAACAGCTGTAATAGAGCTCATGTCATGTATGTGCAAGAAGGCCTGTATTGATGATTCATGTGACTGCATTCGAAATGGCTTAAAGTTCTCCGACCTTTACCGCCTAATAACTTGTTCTAACCAGCCAGATGAAGAGGAGGACATCCAGGTAGACCTGGATGAAGAGCACGTTGACTTTGACTGAAGTCTCTTGAGTGTGGGTGTAACATTTTCAACATATCACCTACCCATGAGAAACACTTATCATGCTAAGAACACAGGGTACCCAGTTTAATTCTTATATGCTCTAATGCTAATTGCTATATCTTTTAGTGCTTTTTATGGTAAAAATACTCTAAATTGTATTTTTGAATCACATAAAAGAAAAAAGGGGAAAAAGTAAAAATATAGACAAAAATTGTGAGTTTTTTTTACCGTGACCGGAAGTGACGTCACTGCCACGTGACTATTTATCCTTTAAAGTGACAAAATACTTTACAGACATTGTATCTTATCTATGCCTGCTTTATTTTATGCAGAATCTACAGCCTTACTTCCTAAAAGCCGCATTTTAGTATATTATCAATTTATGCTAATTATGCAAAATTCAAGGTCACGTGACTCCCTCAAGCTACTCTTACAACATTTCCATCATATATTTTTGAAATCTACACATGATAAGCTTTAATTTGATATATGGTAGCCTTTGTCCCCCCGAGTGGTAATGAAAAGCCACTTGGCCCATTGACTATTAGGAATGATGATCAAACCTGGGAAGTGAAAGGTGAAAAACGAACTTCGGAAAATCGTAGAAAAATTAATGGACTTAAAGCATCAAAAAACTGAGACGTCAATGGAAATTTTTTATCTGAATTTTTTCTCTCGAGCTATAGAAATTTCCAGACAATTCCGTCTGTGCCTCCTCGAATAGCTTTTTTTTACAGAAAAAATTCAACCGTAACGCGCCGGTCCCTACCACATGTTTGAAAAAGTCAAAAGGTCCTATGAATGTCCTAAACAGTGGTCTATTAGTAAGACTTAGGTTTAAAAATATGCGGTTCTTAAATAAATGCTGAACTCTACGATAGAGTTGCATTTTCTTTTCTTCTTGTGTGTAACTAACCTTTCACAAATTTCTTTGCTGGATGCCTCTACTGACGAAGCGGAAAACGAGTTTGCAAAATATCAATTAGGCTTGCAAAAGGCTTCTTCGTTGGATGTTACTCCGGCGAAGAATAACGTCCGGCTCCATTAATACGGTCTTAAATTATCTGAACACCTTTTTTGGGAAATATTGCACTTAAGATAAAATACTTAAATAATTGCCTTTGCTTATCATTTTTTCCGCTTAATATACGTACCGCCTTAAAAAAAGGTTCTGAATTAAACTTTCAGTTGTTAAATTGAACTTCTTCTTTCAATCAGCCCACATTAAATGGACCCTACTTGATCGGCACTCACAATGATTATATCGCCGCGCGGTCTATCATTCGAGCACTAAACGAACACGAACCGTTTCTTTAAATTGTATTTTTTTAACTTGTATATAATAAAAGCCGCGTTAAAACGTTATTTGATCTGTAATTGTCTGATAAAAGTATGCAAAAATGCTCACCTTAACTAAAAGTTTTTCAGTTGGTTGGCTGGTTGCTTTGTCCTATGGAAGAAAATATCAAAGGCGTGTGAGGGGGCATTACAATCAGTTGACTAAAAACTGAGGGCGATAATATAAATGCGTGATATATAGTTTTCAGCTGAATAATTAACTAACTGACGCCGGCGCTTCTTCACCTGAGTATAAGAATGACTGACCATTTCAGCTAACCCTTTTAAGACAATCAATTATCCATAGTGAGAACGGAAAAAGTCGATTGCATTGTCAGTTATCTTCTACCAATTTCAAAGTCAACCTAACTTCTTGTCATATTAGCTCCATAAATATTTTTTATGTGACGTAGCTTGTGTCAAATGAATTTGCCACCATTTATTTTAAAACTCAATCTTCAATGTTTTTTGTCTTGTAACTCCAATACGGATCGCAACAAGTTCTTCTGCCAAATTAATAAAACCTTACGACTTAACGAAGGAAATTAGGTCTGACGTCTATAGTGAGCTCGACAGCAGCTTATATGGCAATATACAGTGGAACCTAGATATAACAATGGGCTAATTAAGGGACTTGCAAAATGTGCTCGTTTTAACGAGCAGCTTCAGATATATAAAAGTTCTTTCCAAATACTTCAGTTAGTAAGAGTGCTCTTATAGCTCTGAAAATGTGCGCGTTCTAAGCTCAACTTTTTCCGATACCTCTTTCCGTTATTGTTTCAGAAACCCGAAAATTCCAGTAGTCCTTCAAGTTTACAAATGATGACCTAACCTGGGAAAAGAAAGGAAAAAACCCAAATTCGGTTAATCGACCGTAGAAACATTAACAGACTGAATTCCAAAAAATGAGACAAACAATGGAACATTCATCTAAGAATTTTAAACCTATCTCGAGCTATAGGAATCTACAGACAATACTGAATTTCTTTGAACAAATGTTCTACAGGAAAAAGTCTTTGTGAGCCTCTACCACATGAAAAGATCTGAAGGTCCTCTGAATGTTTGCACCAGTGGTCTAAGCAGGACTTAGGTCAAATATCCGTTTCTTAAAGAAATACTCAATTGTATGATACCAAAGTTAAAACGTTTTTTATTTTTCTTCTTTTAAATAACTAACTTTTCACAAAATGCTTTGCTGGATGTCTCCTCTGATAAAGCGATGGGAAAAATATGCATCTATATTTGAAAAATTAATCATCAGTTAGGCTTGTAAAAGGCATCTGCGTTGGACAGTGTTACTCCGGCGATGAATAATCTTCCGGTCTTAAATTATCTGCACATGACTGTTTTAAATATGGAAATATTGCACAAAAGAGTGAGCTAACCTTGAATAATTTCCTTTGCTTATCATCTTCCGCTTAATATATCTACCCCCATATTTTTTTATTTAGAACTTTGTTCGTCAATCAGCAAAAAAAAACAAATCGGCCCTATACTATTTGATCGACACATACAATAATAATTTCACCGCTCCACACAGAAATTTTAGAACAATGGAGGAGTATGAAACAAACTAGATAACCAACTGACACAAACAAATGAATGATTGCCATACGTAATAACTATATAGCCATTCTCCATATCGTTGTCTGATTATAAAAGTGGCGGTCGATAACATTACAGTTACAACTCAGACACCAGCAATTGTTACCCTGTAGGCCCACTTTTTGATGAGGCGATGCCTGAAGGGACGAATTGTCGCATGCATGCGATCTAATGAAGTTACTGTCAAAAGACCTTTCAAAGAAAACAAAATCATAGTCATTTTTCCGAGTCTACTTTTGTGCAAACGTGAACAATTTCACTCGGTTAACGGCGCTGAAATTTTTCATGAAAATATGAAGATGGCCCACGTTGCTTGGCTCGGCCAATCCTTGTATTTAAATATTTTTCATTGCACTGAAATATGTCAATGTAGGCATATATAGTGAGGAGGAGAGAAACACGCGCTACTTGAAACAACCTACATCAGAAACATGTGAAAGATCTCGTGGCCACTTCCGACTGTCTTATAGCTAAAACGTGGTCTAGGTAATAGAACTTAGGTTTATTCGGTTCTTAAAGATTAGATATCTGTTACACCTATCGCCGGCTTTCTCCAATATTCTTCAAAAACCATTTTAGGATATTTTTTTTAGATTGTTTTCAAAGCTTTGCAAATACGTTCTAGAAAACGCTGTAAACTTTTAATCTGTTCGGTCCGTCCTAGGGCGTCCCAAAATCTTTGATACTTTAAATTTTAATTTTTTACTGGAAACTAACCATTTTGCAATACCCCTTTCCGTTATTGTTTCCAAAGGCGAAAATTTTAGAAGTCCGGCCTTTTTTACGAAGTGGTGACTAAACCTTCAGAAAATTGTAGAACAGTTAAGAGACTGAAACTTCGAATAACTTACATGAATTTCATCTGAAACTTTTAACCCAGTTTCTCGAGTTATCTATAGAAATTTCCAGAAAAAAATGATTGTGCTTAATCTCCTAACAGACTGAAACAGTCGTTGGGTTCCCTTACTACACTTGAAAAGATCTGAAGGTCCACTGAATGTCCTGAACCGCGGTCTAAGTAGGACTTATATTTGCTTCTTCAAGATTAGTATATCTATCGCTCTATAACTGGTATGTTTAACATCAAATTTATGCTCACTGACTGCCTGATACCGCAGTAAAAACCTTTAATATGTTTCGTTTTGTTCTAGCCTGTTCACAGACCCTCTATTTTCTCTTCAAAGTCCATCGAGCGCGCGTGATAAAAAACAAAAACCGCGGGGGATTTACTGAGCGCCAGCGGAAGGGGTTAGGGGTGAGGAATTATAGAAGGAGAAAATTCTTTATTTTTCTTTCTTGCGCTCCTCGCTCGTTCTCGCTCACCAATGTTTTCGAAAAGAACGAAAAGAAAAATAAAAAAACGTCTGTGTACAGGTTAGTTTTAATTTGTTCAGCTGTTTCGTTTTGTTTATAAATAAATAACTAACCTTGCGTAAATGCTTTGCTGGATGTCCCCACTGATGAAGCGAAAAAGTATGTAAATAGTTATTGTTTCGAAAATATCAGTTGGGCTTGTAAAAGACGTCTGTGTTGGAGATAAGTCCAGCGAAAAATAATCTTTCCTCGATTTATACGTTCTTATAAATTATCTGCACACTGCATCTGGTTTGGGAAATAATATTTCACTATTAAAGCTTCCGTAATTACCATGAATAATTGTCTTGGCCATCATTTTTTACCCCTAAATATATCTACCCCCACTAAATAACTAAAAATTTGCTGCTGAATTATGCTTTTTGTTAACTTGAACTTCCTTGTTTTAATCAGCCCACAACCAATCGACCCTATTTGATGGACACCTACAACGATTATTTCGCGGCGTCCGTGTATCATTCAAGCAGGACACGAGCTGTAGTTTCTCTAGGTGTCCTTACAGTTTCAATTTATAACTTATTTCATGTCGATAGTTCCTGAATTTTTCTTGAATTTTTTTGATAAAATTATGCCAAGTAAAACAGAAGTGCAAGATAGTACAGAAGAGAACACAATTTACTATTAACAGATCCTTTGGCCTGCGTAGGGACTGGCGGCGACTGAATGAGTTCCTCTCGCCAG